TGCTGGAGAGGTCCGTGATATCATCGGAACAGTGTCGGATAAGACTTGCTCTTGAATCGTTACTCACACTTGCGTGTGGCTCGATGATATGTACAGCTGCCCATATCACCTTTCAATCTCACTCAAAATCTCAGGTGTCCCGGAAATGACGGTGCCACACTCGGTCTTCAACTTTGACAGTTGGCTCTTTCTGGCAGACAAATCTATGACAAAGATTTTGGAGTCTTGGTTTCGCTCGATCGCTTCTTCAATACGAGCAGTATTAAAGTTGCGTAAATCCCCCAGCATGCATTTGGAAATCTGTCTGTTCATTTTCCTGTATACTGTCAAATCTGTTGAGGACTACAGCTTCATTCCCCATCTAACAGCTATGAGATTAAGAGTAGGATTGGAAGGTTTTTGTGTTCTTCTGCGGCAGGTCTTGCAGAACTTGGCTCCGACGGCATGGACAGTTTCCACGACTTTTCATTCATATCTCCACTGCATTGCAAACTTCTAGGCACCGAAATCGCTTTTGTAACTCGAGCTGAAAGGCTTCGGGACTTTGGATTAAAGCACGAGGGGGACGGAAACTGTAAGTTTACGTATATAATAGGTTTAGGTTAAGCACATTCTACAACTTAGCATAGATGTAACCTTTTTAATTAAGGAGTTCATCATTACAATCCTTCACAAGCCCAATATTGAACATAGGCCATCTCCAGGGAGTGGCCCCAAAGTACGGTCGTCCCTCCATCTATTGGAGGGCCGCCCACACTTTGCCTATCGGTACTGCCACTCGAGAACCTTTCGTCCCCATCGGCTGTCGTTCTACGAGTCCTTCTTCGAATGCCGGCTCTTTGCCACTTCAGCTTACTAATCCGTTGGGTTACTCCTGTCGGTTACTCTGGTTCTAATGCGAATATCCTCAATTTTAAGTCTATCATGCAGAGAAACCCCGAACATAGCCCTCTCTATGAAGCTCGCTGATGAAGAGGTTATGAAGCATATACTATAGAAATATATAAACTGAGCTAATGCAATGCGTGATGGTGGATTCCATATGACTTCGAAATATTTATGTCTCATACGTACGTGATGTTTTCCTGCGTCGCCGAGTACACAAAAGACAGAGTATTCTTTGCTCTAGGCACGTAGGTACCTAATTACCCAGGACTAAAATCCTGTGTGTAATAATATAGTAAGTAATAATAAAGAGTAAATTTTCTCACTTTTATATTAAACATGAAGTCGTAAACGGATTTATCACGTATTTGTTATTTTTTACAGCCGAATTTTTTTTTAATAGTAGCTTTGTTAATGTATGCCTTACTCGAGGAAATAAAACGTATTTTATAAGCTCGAGTTACAAAAGTCGTGGACATTTGTCATACACATATTAGTATAGAACAATTCTACATATTTTACGCAATTTTTAAGCTATTGGATAGCTTTTATCGCGGGCTTTGAGCGCGGCGACCGAATCAAGAAATTCCGTAACGAAAATAAACTTCAGACCTGAAAACCTAACATTGTCTAACGTCGTTTAAGTTCGGCAGACTTCGGCACGGTGTTGTTTGTGCGTGTTGTGTTGTGTGTTGTGCGTGCGACTAGACCAGATGTATGTGTGTAGACTAGTTGTATGTATTGTAAGATAATAAAAATATTATAAACAATAATATAGTTTATTGCAAGAAGCGTATTCTTTGATTTATATGAGTCGTCGTCATGCTAGCAACTTTCGTGAATTTAGAGTATTTAATAAACACAGACTTTATATAAAATCCAACTTCTTTAAGCATTACTGTGTATAAGTAAAGTAAAGTTACAGCCTATATACGTCCCACTGCTGGGCACAGGCCTCCTCTCATTTCTGAGAGGGTATAGGTACCCTCTCAGTGTATAAGTGGCTGCCATGAAACTAAAAAGTACTTTGCATAACTTAGATAAGCGCCTGGAGTTATGACGTCACTGAAGGCAACTCCACCATACCAATCTAAATTAGAGACCCTATAATATTAGCTTACAAAAAAAAAACAGAAGTTTCATGTAATTATTGGTTTATTTTCAGGTATTATGTGCACTGTCGTTCCTTGCTAGTGGTAGTTACCAAAGAATATGCGGCAAAAATATCAACACTTACGTGTCGCAGCCTTCAGTGTGCCGCTGTGTTCATGAGGTTGTGGAAGCCCGTCCTTCCCCGGTCGAGCCGGCCCACTCGTGCATATTTTTAAAGGTTCTGCTGAACATAGGCCCGCAACACACTCCCATGGTTTTCTTTAAAAATAGGAATGACGAAGATACTCCCTCTAAAATGGAAGAGACTCTTAATGTGTTCCTTAATATTATAGTAACTTTAATAGTTTATAAGAATTTTCAACGGGTTGGGAATTAGGACAATTCCCGTCCATCTCCAGCTAGTAAGAAAGTCCATCCGAGTGTTGTCAAAAAATATATTAGATTTCCGCAAAACTTTAAAGAAAGGCTCCAACTAAAGAAAAAGTGGGTACCATAAATAAAATAAATAAATAATTATAATTGCTCAAATTGATAAAAATGCTATGCAATAGCTTTACCGCGGCAGTACCCGAGTGCCACGCGTATTTTTTTTAGTATAGGGTTTCTCAGTGAGGTACGCGAGCCCCTCACGCGTGCTACACATACGATGGTGCACGCTAGTTGCAATGTTATAGTGTATGTATAATGAACGAGCGACAAACCACAGCGTATTTGCTTGTGGATGCGCTGTATTATAGTTTCAATGGTATCTAATGTGATCGTAGTGGTCGAGCCATGCCGCAGCTGCATCAGGGTTGCAGCGCGAATGAGCTGGCCGTACAGGGGAAGCCCACACTCAACAACAACGACAACGCCATATACCGCATCCAGTTGTGAATCTAGATTATCCAGGGACTCGCACAACACTCACAAACATTTTATCTCAATCGGTTGAGCGAGCTGCGAGACTGACGGCCAGCAAGTTGTGTTTATGTATAGAGGAGATAGAGAGTTAGAACATTTTAGTTCGGTATAGAGACAGACATTTCTTAATACAGTAAATATCATAAGGCAGTGATGTCCGTTCGAGATAACGATTTACTTTTTCGAAATGCACAACTTTGAACTTTAATCAATAGCAACACGTTGAACTTTAATCAATAGCAACACGTTGAACTTTACTCAATAGCAACGCGTTGAATTTACTCAATAGCAACACGTTGAACTTTACTCAATAGCAATGTGACCGAACATATTTTTTAAAACGTTATCCCCCCACTAGGATTTTTCCTGTATCGTGGAGGCAGTTTAATAACATAAATTTCGCAAGGACGAACATCCACACCCGGAACAAGTACTTGTATGGCCTACAATTGTTCCGGGTGTGGATGTTTGTCCTTGCGCAATTTACGTTAGTAAACTGCCTTCACGATACAGGAAAAAATCCTAGTGGGGGAATAACGTTTTAAAACCGAAACAATTACTTGTAGGTCATACAAATACTTGTTCCGTTTGAATTCGAACCCGCGGCCCTCAGCACTGTAACTCATTGCTAAGCCACTACGCTACGGAGCCGTCGAAAAATTGAAATGTAAATATTGCATTGCACGTATTTTGAAAAGATGAAAAGGACAGATTGTTTGAGATTTTTTTTATTAATTTTTCTTCACCATTTGCCTACATTATTTATTCCGGACCTTCTCTACAAATTTGGCCGGTTATTACAAAAAAATAACTCAGTATACCATAGATAAGTGTAAAACTTAATGTTGTCTATATTATTATATTTTTTTATTATCACACTTTCGCAGTGTTCCACTATTGAACTAGGACCCAATTCGATGGTAACTTAAGTAGTTAAATGATTTCAATTCAATTATACTGTCTTTTGCATTTGGAAACTTATAATTCGACCAAATTTTTGTGAAGAATGTACCTACATCACAATAATCCTACCTCAATAAATATTATTTTTAAAATTTTTGTAGCTGTTGATATACAATGTACAGTAAAGGGATTGCTTGTGGTGACGTTACTTTCGGGTGGTTTAATGGTTGTTGCTTGTGATTGCGTGGTTCTCAACCGTGTCATAACATAAAATATGCAGTTAGATGTGTGGCAGTGTGAGAATGTCCGCTGCACCGCAGTCATGGTCCCGCGGGAGGCGTACGACAAGCGGCGACAGAGGGAAACGAATCAGGAGCTGGGCAGCAGCGTCTTCCTGATAACGACCAAAAATTAAAAAAACTGCCAACTCGCTTGCCAAGCGTGGCAACTGTGGCAACTGTGGCAAATTTGAGGCAATCTGTGGGTGAGGTGTAAGTGCAGCATGTCGAGCTGCACTTTAGTGGGCTGTAACGTTACCAGTAACACTGTACACTGTACACGTCGTCGGAGTGGACGCGGCTGGCTCCCAGCAGCTACTAACTGCCAGTTCCTGGCCAGGCAGTAAGCTGATGACTGCCCAATTCTGCTTCCACGTTGTTATTTTTAAATCCGATTTTTCACGGAAGTCTCTAAGTAATATGTCGGCACTACACCTTACCATAAATTATCAATAAAGGATTTTAATTTGCATATCAGAATAGTATTTTTTATTTATTCTCCGAGTGTATGTTTTATATCGGCTGGTCGTATAATAAATACCTAAGGAATCATCTGACATACTCGCGAAGATAATATTATCAATTAAACGTCATAGGTACTATAAATTACTATTTCATCTAATGCGTAAGCGGTCTTCCTCTGTCCGCGTGAGGTCAATATAATGACCTTGAGCGACTCACCAAATCAATGAAAGTTGTTTAAAAATATAAATAAAAATATAATTAGGATAAAAACAACTCTGTAAGACGGCGCGGACGGTACCAGTGTTTTTCGACCTTCGACATTAAAATAGGTATATAAGTTTACTTATTTTGCACTCAGAAAATTAAATAGATTTTCTATAATGTACCTACAATTAAGATAAAATATCAGAAAACTTTGCGCAAATGTTCCAAAATTAAAGTTTCCTTGGTTACCTAAGATGAAATAGTCAATGGAGTGGTATACGATCCTTTTGATTCACAGTCCGATACACTGATAACTGCTTGAAAGTCTTTAAGAGTTGATCAGAAAGCGCGATGCGAGAACGCAGTAAATTACTAGATACGTAAACGCGAGAGTGTACGCGCAGTGAACGTGGCACGGAGCTCGGCGAGCGCGCGCGCTGTATAGCAGCGGGCTCGGGACTGGGCAATGCGCGGAACTTCGCCCACCGGTTCACCGCAGCGCCATCAGCCAGCGCAGCGACACAAACAATACAATTACAATTAACGCGTCGTATCTATCAATTATAATATTACCATAATAGCGCCGCTAACGCCGGGCGCTTCGCTCGCCCGCACCCCGCACCCCGCACCCCGCGCTGTGCGAACGCATCCTCAACGCGGAACAAGTGCAACTCCAGGTACTGTAAATATATTAAAATGCACTGCTGAATATAGGCCGTCCCTATAGATGGCCCATAGACATTAATCCTCGATTAAGAAACCCCCTGAAGTTACCAGAATACCAGAATTAGTAGTCAGAATACCCCCGAGAACTAAGATGGAATGATCAATAGAATCAGGCGTTACTTTGCGGATATTAATTATATTCAAGTAAGTACTTAAGAATTACTTCGCCCACATCCGCTCAATGAAATAAAATGATGTGTCTTACCTAGTTTGAAAGGCACCTGCCGCCCTCCCTCAATCGAGTGTACTAATCCCAGCATCACTACTCCCATCACCATTACACTAGGAAAGTCACATCATCGACGATAATACAATTATGTATCATAGTCCATGGAGTGTCTTGGAATGCCTTGTTTCCAGTAAAATGATCTTCCGTTCTACACTCACCACATCTACTATAAGTCATCTATGTCCGCATTCAAATACACACGATCAAACCACTTCTCAAAATGTTGATACAGAAATATTACGTTCCAATCGACCGATACTTATCTTGAGTAACGGTAGCTTATCAAACAACGTATCTCATTTTAATGAAGCTTACAACCTGACCCGATAACAAAAGTACTGTTTTTTTTTCTAATGATTTGGACGTACATCAGCGGTCATATATTTCATCCCACACAATCGGGGTACTTCCCTAAGAATTAACTTCTTTCATTTAAAACGAATCTATTATAAACATAAATAAGCGAATAAATAACATTACGTATATATTGTTCTAAAGAATCAGAGTGACAAGCGAGCACACAGTCCACCTGGTGGTTAATGGATGCTTGTGGCTCATATAAATCTACAGTAAGATGGAATACCTTGTATCCAGTAAAAGGTTCCTCAGTTTTCTAAAGTCACACGAAACACAACAGCATTGAGATGCTATTTGACGCTGGTATTTTGTGAAAGCGTGGTCCATCCCCAGTCGAGCCGACCCGTTCGTACTAAAACCACAGTATAGCTGCTGAATGGCCTTACCACGATATGTGTAAAGAAAATAAATTGAATCTATTGTGTTATATTATGCAGATATTGGTAAGATGAGGTGCTAATATTTTAAGGTTTATTTTGTAAAAATGTTGCTGTGTATAAAGTTAGTAACGGCGAGTATATCAATGGCTTATTGCACTGCAAGTGACCTGGTTCTAAGTCACTTATTTTTCCGCACTATCTTTGGCTGTGTGAGTTGTCGATACACTGAAGGACAACTACTTCAGTTTTACTTTTATCACTATTCTATTAACATTAAATACTTGCAACAACATTTTTTACGAGATTTAATTATGTAAACACTACACCTAACTATATTATAAATCAAACAAATTAAAAATATAAGAACAAAAAACTCAACGACAACATTCTAATTCCATTATTTACCATAACATTACGAAGGCTTTGCCGCCAAAACGTCCGATGTCTAATTTTTATTTAGGCATTCTACGATGCTTACAGCATTTCGATACGTGGTGTACGTGTAACGTAATATGTAATTTATCCACGAATTTGGAGAGACCCGTGACAACTACAGTAAATTATGGTAAAAAATGGGAGTTTTTATCTCATGAAGTTGAAACTAAAAGGCAGATCAATAGGGTCACCAACCAAGTCAAACAGGAATCTTTGTTTATATGTATATCTATAAATATAACCGCAGTTATAAAAAAAATGGCATGCAATTTGACATGTAGGTACCTGGTGGTGAGGCTCTTTGTCGTCCTTTTTGTAATACATTTTAGATCTTTAGAGCGCCTGTACGTACGTATGTTCAAATGGACAAGTAGCTAGTTTATCATTCAATGTCTTCTTATTTTAAATTATGATTTTTCTTGATATCATTTTGTCAGTGTTAAGTAAGTTATGACAGTGGCAAGTAAATAATAATTGTAAAAGATATCTCAATTTTACGAGTGGATTCCCAATCTACAACAAAGGACCGTCACCAAAATTAATAAGTAATTTTACTGTTGTAGATGTCTACGGGCCACAGCATCCACTTACCATCAGGTGGACTGTGTGCTCGCTTGTCAGCCTGTTCTATAAAAAAAGTGGCGGTGTAAGAACATCCACTACCCATATCGTCCCGCGGGTGTCGACAGCAGCACATCAGCAGCAACATCAGCAGCACATCAGCAATCAGCACATCAGCAGCACATCAACATGCAGCACATCAGCAGCACATCAGCAGCACACATCAGCAGCACATCAGATGCAGCACATCAGCAGCATATCAGCAGCACATCAGCAGCACATCAGAAGATGGGCAAGAACGTCTTCCTAAACGGCTAAGAATAAACAAAACTGTGGTTGCCAACCCGCTTGCCAAACAGCAACTATGGCAAAATCACACATACCTATAAAACAAGCTGTGGAGAAAGCCTAATTTTACTGTTTATATTAAAAATCATCTACTCATTTTATTTTATTTCCTTTACACCGACAGTGGCATGCGATGTTTTTGGATTGGAAACGATATGAAATGTATATTATTCCTAAAACATAATGATTTGATATTTATTAAATTAGATTAGTTTTTATATTGCTGGTATTTATCAAGGAAAAAGTTTTCCTTGATAAAAGAGACGTAGAATCAAAGAAGTTATCAGTTATCACATAGATTGTTATTATGGAGATCAACATCCCTCAGCTAAACAAAGGTCAAGCGCAGGCGAAGGCAATAACAATTAACATCCCTCAGCTAAACAAAGGTCAAGCGCAGGCGAAGGCAATAACAATTAACATCCCTCAGCTATACAAAGGTCAAGCGCAGGCGAAGGCAATAACAATTAACATCCCTCAGCTAAGCAAAGGTCAAGCGCAGGCGAAGGCAATAACAATTAACATCCCTCAGCTAAACAAAGGTCAAGCGCAGGCGAAGGCAATAACAATTAACATCCCTCAGCTATACAAAGGTCAAGCGCAGGCGAAGGAAATAACAATTAACATCCCTCAGCTAAGCAAAGGTCAAGCGCAGGCGAAGGAAATAACAATTGACATCCCTCAGCTAATCAAAGGTCAAGCGCAGGCGAAGGCAATAACAATTAACATCCCTCAGCTATACAAAGGTCAAGCGCAGGCGAAGGCAATAACAATTAACATCCCTCAGCTAAGCAAAGGTCAAGCGCAGGCGAAGGCAATAACAAAACAAATGTTATGCAACATGCACATAGCTGTTTGTCCCATAAGTTTATTATCTTTGTTTTTCAAGGTGTAGGCAAGCGATGTTTTTATAAAAAGTTGTAGGATACATTGCGTGACCGTGTACTTAAAATAGGAATAAGTTTGGGGATGAGACCGTACGACAGCGTGAGGCTGAAATTTACTAGGTGATTTAAGTAAGTTCAATGCCCGGTTAGAAATGGCAACGTGTCCAGCTCATTTTTGAGCATTGAGGTATTACGTATAGAGAAGACAACGTATTGCATGATTTTGCGCCACGCTTTGTGGTACACTGTACCGCAACTGTTTAGTAAGTGTCCAACGCCCGCACAGACGAGTCGTGTTCGCTTCGCATAAATAACAACTTCAAAACGCCTGGTTGTGTTTTTAAAGACTACAGTAAACACTCCAAATCATCAAAAAAAAAAAGATGATGGTTTAACATTTCATCGGTAAGTAGACATTAAAACGTTTAAAACTCTTTGATTTAAAGTTTTCCGCGTTGCTACAATGCTCACGAAAATCGGGAAAAATGTAAAATCTATGGAAGCGACTTGTTGTACACTACGTTGAACGATACGCGTAAGCGCCATGAAATTCCTGGCGCTTATGACGTTTTGGTCGCAAAAAAACTAATTCCTAACACAAAGTAGTGCTGCATGTTTTGATAGTTTGGTTAGACGACGTAACTATTATTTTAGCGCTGCAGCGAACTTTAGTCCTAACTCTTACCACGAACCAGCAAAATTTTGGTTCGTGGTGTTTGTTTTATACGCTAGTAATATATAAATATATAAATAGTTCGATGTTTTTGAGCAAACTTGTTACATCGTAGATACAGGGGCGAAAACCTCACGAGTGAAGATATTTCTGAAGCTTTGTCTTTTATTGAAGCTCACAAAATATCACAAAGAGGAGATGCCCTATGTTGCAATGACAGATCCATTTCACAACTTTTTATTTGAAGATCATATAGTACTCGTAAATCACGTCGGACCTCTCGAATGGTGGTTGTCATTAAATAACCAAATTAATGGTCAAACAATGGACTTAGTGACACAGTTTCTCACTGCTCTTGCTTCAAGTGCTAGAAAGATTGTTTTCAACATTTGGATTTATTCATTCTAACGTACGAAATAAACTAGGTATCGAGGAAGCTGCTAAACTTGTCACAGTTTTTAAATATCTTAAGGGTCTATAGTGACTCAGCTCAAATTATAATTTCACCCCCACTTCCCCGCTCGTCGTATGCTATGTACCGACATATTTTTAATCACTAGTACTGTAAATAGATAGGTCGTTAGATATTTATTTCATTAGGTTTATCATATTTATGTCTGATTCTTTACGCCAACCCAGTCGCTTCTTATTTTTATTACGGCTACTTCCCATTTTAATTTTACGTCGTCCTATTGCTTAATGTGTATTATGGGCGTAAGCGACACAGCTATCCCGTTCGAAAGCCGAAGCAAGACTGATGGGTGATGGGGCGGCAGAAAACAATCTTCAAGACGCCGATTGTCTGTTTTAGTGAAAATAATGGTAATTTAAAAAAGAAATAAAAAACATAAGCCCTGCTTTATAGTTAGTTCAGTTAGTATGCAAAGTTTCAGGATGTAATTTAAAGTATTTTATGAATACCACCGGTTTATTGTTAAGTTGGTAGGTAACTTTGGATTTTTTTTCTATCGAGAAAATACGGAATCGTGTTTTCGTACTTCTAACATAGTACTTAACACTAATCCTCAACTTTACCATATATCTATTTCAAAATTAATGCTGCAATATTTTCGGCATAACGGAGGATCGTGCTAAGCCATTTGAGACAGTATTTTTACTATTTCCCCTTAATAAGAAAAGTAAGTGTTGTCTTATCACATTGTCTGTCCTACACAATATAGATCTTTTTGTTAATTTAAAATAACTAGTTGTTTATTTATTAAATTTTTTATCATTAAACTTTTTAAACTTAATGATAAGTAATTTTAAAGTTAAATTTTATGACAAATTGTTGTTGTCCTATGTGTGACATACGAGTACATGGTTAATTAACGGTACCTACTTAGTTATAATTCGTAATATTTATCGTTACTGTTTTGTTCGTCTTCTATGATTAAGTGAATTTCTTGTACTAAAATAATGTTTTAATTACAAACCAAATAAACTTTTCCTTATCATTCCTAATTCAAATGAAACATCAAACAACAACGTAAACTCAATTTATAAATTTATTTTAAGCTATTTTGATTCTTAATTATTTATTTGTTTTCATTTACAATTAAATTCATTTGCATTTAAATTTTTTTTAATGTTTTCTAACATTGTTTAAAACTTATTTTAAACTGTATATGTCGGGGTCGTTTTGGCCAATACGGCGCATCTGTCGAGCACTTCCCGAAGTACTTCCTGACTACTTCCTGCTGTTCATTAAAATTACTATTTCCAAGACATTTTTGTATAAAAGGTATATTAAAATCATATATCAATGGAAACTTTATTAAATAAGCTATCAGATTATGTATAACATGAACACAGGTTTACTTCGAAAGCGATACTAATTTGAAAATGAAAGTAAGAAAAGTGTTTTTGCCCAATTTTCTGCAAAGGTGTAATAATTACAAATTAAAGACTTTATTCCAAGTACTATTTGTTTTACTTATACGTCCAAAACATATTTAATTATTTAAAAAAAACGAAAAAATTTTTTCATAATTTTTTTGTTTACGTCAAGGTGGAGAAAGGCCTCACTTAGCTCTACTCGACATCGGGACAAAAAGTAAGGAGGTTCACAAAAAAAAACACATTATCAAATCAAATTTAGACAAAATCAAACATGCAGATATATATGTTATATATATGTATGTTATATATATCATATATATGTTACAAATAGTTTGTTATCACTCGACGCCATATTATGTTAATAAAACCACGTTTTATTTCAAACTGTTTTAAAATCAGTAGTTTTAAACAGGTGTTTTAAAACTACTGGTTTTAATCATGCCAACCCAGTCCTGTATCGTCATAGTGGCGACAGAATGAAATAAACCAAGAGATGAGTGATCTCATTGTCTCATCGTCTCGGTCTCAGCGTCTTCTTCACAACAGCTTGATAACAAACAATGCGGTTGCTAACCCCCTCAAGCGTTGCAACTATGACACATATGTGGCAATCGGCCATTCCTTGTTGTCCACTCTTATGTTCAGCTGTGGGGTTTGATAGCCTGTAGTGAAGAACGGTGCAAATAAAACGAATTTCTATAAAAAAACTCAGAGACAATCTCAATGCAGAACCAAAAATAACTATTAAATTAGGTGTTTAAAATAATGAGATTCTTTTGATTTCACGCCAGAAAGCGCGGCTGAGCGAGCGGGAGCGATGTGCTCCATAGTAATTTAACTAGCGGGACATGCTCATTATCTCTGCTATACCTATTTGCATATCATACATAATAAGAATACAGTGACTGTCTACTAATTTTGCAACTGTAATTTCGTTTATGTATTTCAATGCTAAGTAAGCAACACTAAATTTTACAAGACATACAGATATACATATACGTCACACCCGTGCGATAATGATTATAACTATTGCAAGATGTATTATTAAGATTTCTAAGCCTCCAGAAATCGGCGAACACATTATTGTGACTACTAAAGTCTATGGACACCAACTTAAAATTTAATCAAAATTGGGAATTAAGACAAATTGTAAGTTTTATAATGTAAATAAATTTCTCCACAAAAGTGACTTTTAACACATCTAAAGTCAGTAGTAGTAACAGTCTAAAGAAAAGTTTTCATTTACAGTTTACACATAAGTATATCGCTCCACCAACAAGAAAGGGCAGAAAAACGTCTGCCGGGCGAGCTAGTATTTAAATAAGACATTACTTTGATTATATATTCAGGTTTCAGTTGTAAATAAAACGAAATTAAAAGTGTCCTCAAAAAATATTTTTACGACCAACAAAAGTGTCGTGGAAACAGAGGAAAACTAAAATTGTTTTCTTGAGGGAAATGCTTGCTTTTACTTTCGTAATTTATATTAGCTTCGAGGTATACTGTGGTATCTCTTTTACTGCAAAACACCTATTGTGCCCTACAATACTACTGCGCTCAGACTGACGCTAATGAGAAGGAGCGTAACCGTGTGAAAAGTCTGATACTAAAATTGCTATTATGCCTGCGAAGCGTGGTGAATTCTTTCAACTATGGTACTCTTGAGTCTTGAATAAGGTCATCTCTCTATGGACCTATGCAGTTGTGGAGTATACTTGTCTTTATCGCCATGCTGGCAAGGCCTATTGGTGGTCGTAATAACATTCGTTTCGTACCCTTCACGCTGCTGACCGTCGTCCGAATGGGTATTTTATGTGTGTGGTAAGCTTGATGGTTATGCCGGCATGCATGAAGGGAATTCTATATAACACCACGGACGAAATGAGGTGATGGATTATCTTACACCGTCAGCAAACGACTTTAGAGCTACAATTTTCTGATATGTATATTTTGTATTTAAGTTAACCTGATGGTAAGTGGATGGTCTAACCCATAGACATCTAGATGTATCCTTGATTAAATATAAAAACGCAGATGCCTTTTTATCATCATCTTTTTGTCATCCCAGAGGACTAAGATGGAATGTCTCATTTCCAGTGATAAGTTTCCTTTCTTTGTTCCGTGTTTGGCTGTGTTTCGTATAGTAAATGTAGAATTCTCAATTGTCTACACTCACAGTATGAATCACAGCATTAATTTACTACTTAGCGCTAGTATACTATGTACATTTATATTACAGCCATAATATAGCTACATATACATATACAGTGTGGCTCTGTCCTGTTTAACATAACCAGTTGTTACTTTATTAATTAATTTACAACATGTGGTATTAAGCAAAGCTAATAGTTCAACAAGTGAAGACGCACCTGTTACTTATAGGCAACACCTTTGCTCATTTCTATTCCCGATAGCATTCTGTATTAATATCTTGACTTGGTGTGCGTGTGAGCGTTTCGCAGCACATTACTTAAAATAAATGTCACATTTGCA